GATATAGAGGTGGTTAGATTGGGGTGGGCGGTGGTGGAGAAAAGACACAATATAGTTGAAATTAGACAAGACAACTAGAAACACAAGTTTGAAAGTTCGAAAATATTTTCTTTCCATTAATGTTGACTTAGTGTATCATATGTGGTTTGTCTAGTAGGGTCGTTATGGAGATGTTTCTGTCTTGTTTTTTTTTTCTTATTACAGGCCGAGAACTAAGGGAGTTTATTGCCTTGGTAGTAGTAATGTCTTTCTAACTTTTGATAGAACATTTGGCTACGTGAGACTCTTGGCGTCATGTATTGACGTCACAAAACATTTACCTTTCTGATGACTTTTTATTTCCTTCATGCAAAATGACATTGAAGGAAAGCTGGATTCAAGTTTAAAGAGCGAAAAAAAGGATTTTATTAAGAATATAAAAACCTACAAGAAGGGAAATTGACAGCGAATTGTCTGAAAATGAACGTTGGAATATCAAGTCTTGGATTTGTAAATGAATGACGAATAATTGTAAACGTTTTACGCCCGCAACGAAACAACTGAGGGCATTTAGGGGGCTGGATGCTTCGACCATGTCTATCATTGCCGTCCTGTACTGCGTTGAGGAGGACACAAGATCCCAGCAGACAGGCAAACCGTGACACTCGATAAGAGTGAGAATCGAACTCTCATCGTCTGCTTGAAACGACAAAGCGTCTACCATTACACGACAATCACCTATAATGTCTCTGAAGGAACATAGAAATTCAAATGTCTTGCTGAGAAAGTTGAGGTGTAAAGATTGCGTACGAAAAGTTCAAGTCAAAATGTCTCCAGAGGAAAATTGAAGTTTAAACATTAATGTCCATAAAAAACAGTTTCAGTAGAAAAAGAAGGGGCATACAATGCTGTTGATCCCTGTTGGGAAATGCGTTTCTGAATGTAGAAATTTCTGCCATATATAGCATAAAAAAATAATTAGTTAGTTACAACACCCTGGCAGTACTGGAAGTGAGGGGCCCCTATGTGGGAAGAAAGACTGAATTGGTCGAAAACAGAGAGCATTTCCTTAAAAAATGAGACACGTTGGGGGGGGGGGTGGATGCCTCCCAGCCTGAAATTGAATCAAGAGTGTTCAAATTATTGTGAACAAAATCAGCTGTCTTCTACTGATAACAGCCACAGAATAAAAAGCTTGGTGTAAGAGGAGGATAAAGACATTGCGATTTCCATTGTGATGCAACATCATTGGTGCATTCTGCAATATTTGAAATTACACCCTATCAGAATCTCTCAAATATATCCGGAGACGTAGTAGGCGGCACGGGGGAGATGATCGGCGTTGTGGATGCAAAGGGAACTCTGGCGCTGTTTCTCTCTCTCTCTCTCTCTCTCTC